CCTACAGATGCCACACATCATCTGTCTTCATAGGTCACGCCTTGTGACCACAACCTGTAACCTGGTGATGTGACCTTTGAGGCAAAGTGACATGTCTCTTGATACCACAAGTGACGCAAATCAAAGTGAACCTTTGAGAATTGTGTACTGACCTCATCATACACACCATCATTAGAGTCAATAAGTAATGTAGAATTCTCCACAGCTGCCAGGGTCTCTCCTTGAATTGCTAGGAGCATGTTTAGAGACTTCACGTTATGAAGCATGACTCTGCACTATGCACATGCAAGGCGCGTGTCGAAAAATGGTATGGTTGTGTTCCTTCAACGGGGACTTTATCGATCCCGCTAACATTAAACTGGACAACTCACTGTTGCCCCTTGGTGTATGGTAGCTGTAGCACCCTTCCGGTGCCTAGCTGTCATGGTACCTGAAGGAAGCACGAGGGCCGGGATGTTGCCAGGTTGCCCAATTCTAGACAGGGGAGTCGAGAGGCAGAGGTCGGGTTCGAACCATGGACTTTCTGATCGGTAAATTCGCGCCCTAACCACTCGCCCCCGATGGTAGCTTGACTATGAGTTCATTTGCTGTATAGTGGCGGGAGGGACCGGCATTAGTGTAAAGTATACAAACATAGAGAATGCCCGGGCGCATACGTTTGATTTCAACAAGGGGCACGGCGGACTAACCTTAATGAATCAAAAATTTTGTGCAGCTCTAGTCCATCGAACAGTTTCCCAGTGAGGACAAATTACAAGCGGAATGCTAAGATTTCTATCCCTTGATAAAGACTTTCAAACTTCACACTGGAAGTCTCACCGGGGAGCCATTCATGGTAGGAACAGTCCGCTTAGAAGAACGACAGTATGTATAAGCTGGTAGTGACAGAGTTCCATACAGAGCTATGATCGAACCAAGCGTGCATACATAAATTCAGTCACATGCAACATGCGCAAAACACGTGTTGTGCGCTAGAAAGCGATTCGTCAATGGTTCTACACGCACGTGCGGGTGAACAAGAGTGTGTGGATAGACAATCGTGCAACGTCGATAGAAATATGCGGCTGGCTGGACTTTTGACAGCGAAGCGATCAACTGAGAGCGGTAGTCGTTAACCTTTTGGCCGTAAAATGTGGAAAAAAGGATGATGACGAAAACTCGAGGACTGCGCGACCGGGGGCGAAACCGGAATACACTCATTTGCAAACAAATTCGGTTTTGCGGGAGATTCAACTGAAAATCAGCTCTCTCTCGTTTGTGCTGTTTCCAGGCAAATGAATGTACTGCACCAGGCCACCTCATGTTTCAGTTGCTACGGTAACCGAGATATCGCGGTACATGTATATTCTTGATACACTACTCATAAGGTTGCTAAAAATTCTTCGACGAAGGTGGTTGTAGGTTGTCGAAGAGTTTTCAGCAATCTTAAGAAGAATGATTTCTATCAATGGAAAAGTGTGGACTAACTATAAACATAAGAAGCCAAAAGAGAACAGTATCTTTGAATCTTCTCCCTGGACGTCCACGTAACTAAAACGGTGAAAGCGTGATCTTACGATTTCAAGGAAAGCAACAAAGCACCATACCTCCCATCAGCTATACTCAAGCAGTGCAGTGCCACGAGATGGCCGAAGTCGTTAGAGCGCGAATTTACTGACTGGAAGGTCCGCGGTTCGAACCCAACCTTTGCCTCTCGACTTCCCCTGTCTAGGCTTGGGCAACCTGGCAGCATCCAAGCCCTCGTGCCTCCTTCGTGTGGCATTGCAGCTAGGCACCGAAAGGGTGCTGAAGGATTTTTTTACTGAGGTGCCGCGAGAACCCTAAGCTGAATAGAATAGAGGGAGCAGAACTGGTAAAAGAGAGCGGTTTTAAGCCAGCCAAGTTGACACGTGGTGATACGGGGTTATCGGTGAACTAGTTTGGATCAAAAGTGCCAAATTCAAGCAGAAGAAAATCAATTTCTGCTCCCCAAGCCCGATCCGATTGTCCTAACACCCCCATACTACACATACAGACCATCAAAGCCTGCGAATATCTCACTTAAGTGCCCTAAACTGGAACGCAAAAGTAAAACCGAAAACCAAACCAACTCCTAAGCGTTGGTCAGCCACACTAATAGTTCAGCTGTAGCACCCTTTCGGTGCTCAACCGCCACGACATCAGAAATGATCACAAGGGCTGGGATGCTGCCAGGTTGCCAAAGCCTAGACAGAGGAAGTCAAGAGACAGGGATCGGGTTCGAACCACGGAACTTCCAGTCAGTAAATTCGCGCTCAAAGCACTGAGCGATATCGCCATACTAACCAGCAGAAGACTGACTAATATTCAACAATAATTAGGCGGGCTAATGTTAACAATAGTAATAATAATAATTCTTCAGCTGGTCGCCATTACCCTCCAGTACCTCAACAATATAAAAACAATTTAAAGAATCCTTTAGCTGTGACATCCTTCCGGTGCATAGCCGCCAGGCCACCCAATAGAATCACGGGGGCTGAAATAATGCCAGGTTACCCAAGCCCAGACAGAAGTAGCTGAGATGTCAAGGATGGAGTCCAACCGCGCTTCGCCACTAAGCTTTCTGGATGGACCAAGTGGTTAGAGTGCGAATTTAGTGACCAGAAGGTCCGTGTTTCGAACCGGACCTCTGCTTCTCCACTTCCCCTGTCTAGGCTTAGGCGACCTGGCAGTAGCCCAGCCCCCGTGTCTCCTTCGGGCGGCATGGCAGCCAGGGACCGAAAGGGGGCTACAGCGGGACCAATTTCAGGCCACCCAACCAATAGAATCGGGCTGAAATAATGCCAGGTTACCCAAGCCCAGACAGAAGTAGCTGAGATGTCAAGGATGGAGTCCAACCGCGCTTCGCCACTAAGCTTTCTGGATGGACCAAGTGGTTAGAGTGCGAATTTAGTGACCAGAAGGTCCGTGTTTCGAACCGGACCTCTGCTTCTCCACTTCCCCTGTCTAGGCTTAGGCGACCTGGCAGTAGCCCAGCCCCCGTGTCTCCTTCGGGTGGCATGGCAGCTAGGTACCGAAAGGGCGCTACAGCTGGACGATTTTTTCGATTTATTTCTGGAGCTCGAATAGTCGGCTGGTTGCAAGAGACTTTACTGACTAGTTCTTCGTCTTCTTTAAAACTCAATCATCCTTGCCTGACGAAGCTGTTTCAGCAGCGAAACGTTAGCCAGCAATAAATAGGCCGACTGTATACCCAAAAAACTGAAAACAAAACAAAATTCTTAAAAAAAACGAAGCTCTTTTACTTTGAGCAACGCAGTGACGCTTTCCAGGTAGTGGACAGCTTTGATGTCTCTGATCTAGCGAAGTCGTACCGTGCTGAGAAGCCAATCACGCCACTCACCAGCCCGGAGCACTGACTGCTGGGGTGTTCAAACGCTTGACGGAAGGCCTTGGGTTCGACCAGCCTTCGTATACGAGATATCCATGGCTAACGACTCCCAGTAAAGAGGGTGCAGATATACGGTCGTCTCGGCTACACTTGCAGGATAAAAACAAGACGCGAAACTTCAAATTTTTCTTGCTACCCCCAAAATATAAGTAACTTGCTGAAGAAGGAAAGTACCCGACAATTCGCATGGGGCTCCCATATAACAGGTCTGAAGTAGAGAAGTTAGTCAACAGCAGAGAACTGGAAGACGCAAGGATGAGTGGCCCCATTTCCTGTCTAAGTGATGGCGAGTGAGGATGTGTAAACTCCTGTCTGGAAGGTTGCGGATTCGAGTCCCTCACGAGTTTCTAAGACACGCACAAGGGTAAAACAGCTGTATGGTTCGGGGCGGGGGGAGGGGCACTTGAACGACTGAGTTGAGAGAAACGCGGTTACTAATCGGCCTCAACGACAGTGTACTGGTGTGCGACAGCAGTGTTGCCGTCGACGATGACAACGATGAGGTGCTAATCATGAGGATGGTGATGATAGCGTCAGGAGACCACGAATAGGACACAAAATAACCCAATGTGCCCTCATTCTGGACAATAGCAGTGCATTGCAAAGAAAAATATCAAATCGTTTCGGCGCGTACATGCCATGCAAGCATGATGACTGAGAAACTGCCGGGTTATCTATTTCTATGCAGGAGCAGTGGAAAAGCCGTTGAGAAGCTCCAACCGAGCAACAATCGATCAGTAGCTGTCATTGTCAATAACGATCATTGATGGCGGGATATCAGTAATACATGCTGGTGCTTAATTGTCCTAGAACAATGAAGGGGGAAAGCCTCAATAAAGGGCGCAGAGAAAGGAGAAGGGTAAACGATCAAGACAACGTGTCTACACCTCTGGAAAGCATTGAAATAAACACATCTGAGTAGAACATCGGCAGCGAGATGAACCCAGCATCTTTTGCGAAGCTCACCCGATATATAAGTAATGCGCACATGGACAGACGAACTTTGACTAGACAGTCTGTTTATGAGATGACAGATTGCATGTCATTTCCTGAAAGGTTTCCAACAACCTGCATCGAATCGAATCGAATCATCCAGCTGTAGCACCCTTTCGGTGCCTAGATGCCATGCCACCAGAAGGAAGCACGAGGGCCGAGATACTTCCAGGATGCCCAAACCTAGACAGGGAAGTCGAGAGGCAGAGGTCGGGTTCGAACCACGGACCTTCCGGTCAGTAAATTCGCGTTCTAACCACTTGGGCCACCTGCATGCAGGATCATGTGGGTCCCGCTAATTGTCCTGTTAGCCTGAGAGTCGCCTCAGTTTTTTTGGAGTTAATTTTGGTGGGTAATAGGCAAATACTCGTAAGGAAAGAAGGGTCCCGTTAAAAACCGATGGGAAATACATGGACCAAGGATTCTAAGACGCTAAGGGACGGACAGATATCCATTGAGAAAATGGACAGCTAATTAAAGCATCAGAGGAAAGAGCCAGTGAGAGTGCATGTTTAAGGTTTTTACGGACCCAAAAGTTACTTCGTAGGTAAAAGTCAGACCCAAAAGTGTGCGAACATGACGTTCGTCTGGGACTTACGAATCCGAACAACCGGATTTCTCGGCAGGTCGGTCAAGCAGCATCTGTTCCTTTCGATCAGTGCAATCCGACTGTATCACAACTTCGTTTTCGAAGTGAGTGGCAATGTCAGCCGGCTCACAATCGAAAGCTTCGTCACCCATGGTTGACAGAGGACTCACAAACGGTGGGGGGATTTCGCTGCATTCATTGATTAGATGTTCGACAGGCACAGGTCGAGACAGGTTACCGTAAACTTGGTTACCTACGGACCGTGGAGATTCAGCGGAGTGGAACGTTTGAAGCTGCGTGGTGTTCACAACATGATGATGGTGTCTAGAACCTGGACGAGAAGGCAACTTGTCTGCAGGGGTTCTGAGATCCGTCTGCTCCGGTTCCTCTTCGCTATCGGACAGCTGCAAATCTTCCTCAAGTCTACCAGGATCAACGACAAAAAATGTACGATTTTTTTAGACTAAAAATGCAACGCCGTAGTTTTACATAATAACGGAAGACCCGACGGATACAAATGTGTGAATCTTCGAAAATCACCAAAAACCACGATCAGATAGCTCGTCACAAATGAAGCAACTTAGAACAATGTTCATGGGTTCCATCCCACCACCTCAAAATATGTTGGAAAAATGCAAAATCGGGTGCCATCACTGGCTATTTGAAAATATTAACAACAAGCGAACTACAAAAATATATCCCTGTTTGGTCACACACGAAATATACCTACCACATTGTGAAAGTATCACGGTTTAGTTGTGACGACGAAACACTTCAAGTTTTCATGAAGGAGACTACTCACAAGGTTGCTGAAAACTCTCCGACAGCCCACGACCGGTTTCGCCCTTCTTGGGGCTCATCAGGTAGGCGTAGTCCCCGAGTTTCGATCAACCTTATGTTCTACTTAATGAACCCGAGCCCATGCCGGTTTGACTTAATCTAACAGTAGATTCTCCCGCACTCATTCCTATCGGAAGCAAAGCCATTTGGATGTTCCAGATCAACAGCGCTTTCAACCGACCACATCACTAAGCCGGTAACTAGTCAATCCCAACAGAAGTAACGTCGAATTGTGTATACAGCAATCATTGAGTCGCAATCCTCAGAACAAGGTTGATGGGGTTGTTTCACGCAACCTACAGTGCTCTTCGTCAACTTCTCCCCCCCCCTTCGGAGCAGTTTGTTGGATTATATATATCAACGGCGGATATCACCAAGGGTATTCACAATGACTGAGTTGAGCACAGCTGAGAGATGCAAGTATGACATTTTCGTGACATTTTACCAATAACAAACAATGGTCAGACTTTTTGGTTCACACAAAAACCGGCAGTCCCGCGCGTCCAATTTTGCTCAACTATGAGGTAGATCGAAGTGATCCAGAAGTAAACCATTGTTTCACAAGGTAGTATGGAACCTTAGTCATGCCTCTAGACGGACTTTTAGAGGCACTGTGGGAGAAGATACGGCACGAGATAGCACAGTGGCCAAGGGCGAACTCACTTACCGGAGGATCCTTACTTGGAACCCAACCACGACATCTCGACTGCCCCTGTCAAGGCTTGGACAACCAGGCAGTACCTCAGCTCTTGTGACTACTCCGGCTGGAAAGGCAACTGTGCACCGAAAGTGATTTACGGTTGACCAAACGACATAGCTAAACAGCTCAATAATAGATAAACGATAGCCGTTTATCTGTAGCACCATTTCAGTGACTAACTGCCATGCCAACGGAAGGAGGCACGGGGGCTGAGATAGTGACACATTGCCCAAGCCTAAACAAAAGCAGTCGAGATGCTAAGTGTGGGTTCAGGCCACGGACCCACAGGTCCGTAAGTTGGCGCCCTAACCACTGAGCTATCTCGAGCTCGTAGCGTTCTTCACCCGGCGCGTAGCCCAGTCTCCATTCCAGTCAGATATGTACATTGAAATACTGTAAGTAATACGACGCCAAACTCTCCCAGTTACGCCTATTGTCATCAGATCAAAAGACAGCAGCCAGGATCAGTGCCCTGGGATGTAGTTTATGCCTAACTGCTTGGACCAACATAGATTTTTGGCAATGAGGACACTCCCAAGCCGAATAGGAGTTAAACACTAAATAGGGAATCACTCAAGCATTACGAATAGACTTCCACGTAAGAAGACAAAGTCAGGGAACAAGTCTTGTAGTTATTTGGCGATCTCATAGGTCTGTTGAAGGAATATTTAATACTATACTACTATATAATTACCTGGTCAACAACGAGTGGCTGCCGGGTGGGAGGGGGTTAAAAGAAGAAGCAAACGTAGAATTGTAAGAGCAAATGGTATTTTTCGGGGTTCTGGGTCCGTTTTATATGAGCAAAAGAAAGTTACCATTTTTTATCGAAATCGGTTTTTGGGTGAAATACCGTGAATAGCGTTCCAGGCATCCACACATTCGCTTTTGCAAAACACCGACATCAATGGCATTGACGTGACATCGATTTGCTTGTCAAGGGCAGAGCACACAATGCGGCGGTGAGATCCATGTTGCTTTGTGGATAAGAAACATGGTCTCTGAGTATGAAAATGTTATGTCTTGATGTACGGTAATGCAACTCTGTCTCGGTCCCTTGGCTTCCTGCTCCGCCCACTATGGTATATCAAAAAGGCACGGTAGCTCTAGACAGCCCGTTATGGAGACAAAAGGAGAATAACTACATCTGTATTTATAGGGTAATCACAGAGTGTTCCACAAGGTCGTGCTAGAAGCACCGTGAGGGGGCGAGAGGAGTCCAGTCAAGGATGCTCGGTCCGGATTGGCTGGCATTCTAACCAATCAGGGCATGCCTTCGTTTGGCCCGTGCCCTGCACGTGACACATCCGTCCAAATGATGTGCTGTTCGGTTATTAGGGACGGCTGGCCCCCGAACAGAGAACTATCGTTGTTCGACCATCGGTGTCTCCGAGGCATTCGATGGGTCTGGTAGGAAGAGTGGATTTGTAATGTTGAGGTACAATAGATGGTCTTAGGCGGGAAGAGCTGTTCAGCGACGAATGAATTTCTCACGCCTAATTGGTTACGCATGTTAGGACGTGTACTCCAGATGCAAGAGGACCATGACTCAGAGCTTTCTTCACCCGACCCTGCGCAAAGCGACCGAGAGGCGGGCAGCGTATGGCTTGGCAACGAATTATGAAAACACGAACCAGTAAACTCAATCGGATCGACAAACACCACTTTCCTGGATGAAGGCGAAACCGGCCGAAAGTTGGGGACATTGCTAGACATGGCTCAATTGCACAGAGGCGCTCGTGCAACAAAGCTATCGACTTCAATGCGTAGTCACCCTATTCCCGAACCAACCAAACACGGAATCGCCTCCAAGGCTTCGCTGTATGTCCTACATTCCCCCACTTTCCGGTGATCAGAACTGTAGCAGCTGGAACCAATATACCTATGGCATACGGTGTATAGCTGATAAATTGATTGATTGTTTATCCTTTCGACGCAAAGCTTTCAAGCCACCCAAGAGATAAGCTACTGCCAGGTCGTCCATGTCCAGAGAGGTGAGGTGTCCATAAGTTTGAGCTCTGAACAGTTATTTATCTCGAGTTAACCTCGATGGAAATTACTGTGGAATTGCTCATGTGTAAGGAGATACACATCATCATTATCGAAAGTATAACCTTTAGCTGTAGCATCCTTTCGGTGCCCAAATGCCACGCCACCCGAAGGTTGCACGAGGGCTGGGATACTGCCAGGTTGTCCGAGCCTAGACAGAGAAATTCCGGGTTCCAACCACGGACTTTTCAGTTAGTAAATTCGCGCTCTAACCACTTGGGCCATCTCGCCCCCTCGACATCATAACATCAGTGTTCAACACAGACGCTTCGCTCTCACACACAGCACACGCACGGTAACGTGTGAACCTGTAGTGTCTTCTATAACATTTCATGCTCCACACGAAATCCATGTAACAAATGCGGATCATTAGGCCTTGATTGGGCCACAGAGTTGAGCACACCCCTAAACAAATAAATAAAATTGTAAAAGCTATAGCACCCTTTCGGTGACCGATTGCTGTCAGTGGGTCTGCGCTTTAACCATTGAGCCATCTCAAACCCTACCCTCGCACACCCTTGAATTTAAGGAAAAATAAGTATGAGGTGTCTCTTTGTGGAGCGTTGTTTCAACACTTGACATAATGTGAGGATGTGATCCACAACAGTTGGTTGGGATGAACCTTTTCATTCATGCAGATTCAACTAAGATAGGTAAAAAGTGATAGATTTCATCATTATTACATAGAGCGAGCGAAAGTTTGTCCGGAAGGCTAGCTCGGTTGCGCAGAGGTCCCAAGTCAACCGTTGGAGGCCTCGTTATGACCCAGGAATCCGACCGATTAGTGGATGGTCACTTGAATTGTTGTTTCAAGTGTTAGGCCCAAGGTCTTAAAAGCCCTCATTTAAAGATTAGCTGATTACTTCGCTCAATCAATCAATTAATCATCTATAAACCGCGTACTATAGGGACATTGGTTCCAGCCGCTATAGTTTCAATCATCAAGAAGTAGGGGTGGGGGTTGGGACATATATGAATGTTTGGTTAGTTGGGGAACAGGGTAACTACGCACTCAAGGCGACAACTTAGATGCAAGGGCGCCAGTGACTGCGCGATTGAACCATTTCTCTCAGTGCCACTAACCATCGATGAGTCGAATTCCGGATTCCCATCCAGGGAGGCGGCAGTTGCCGACCCAAGTTCACTGATCTGTGGTTTTATACTTCGTTACCCACCTCTCGGTCGCTTCTACTCAGCATAGTGGTGGGCGAAAAGGGCTTTGAGGGTCAGACGATCTTCTGGCATCCGTTGCACATGTCCTAATCAGCGCAATCCATGAAGCGTGAGTAATTTATCCATCGCGGGAGAGTTTCTTCTTCCTAACACTACTGGCGTACCTCAGCATTATTAATCCAATGTTCCCACCAGACCTGATAAATACTACGACACCGAAGGTCAAACACTGACATCTTTCATATGCCCTCTGTGCGTAAAGACGTTTCTGATCCATAATGCAGTATGTATCGCACAGCTGCAGTCTAGACTCTGCCCTTGATAAACTCACGTCACTTCGGCGCCATATGTACCGGAGATAGGTAAGGGTTACCATGGCTTCACATACTCGAGAAATGCTCTCATCTTATACAGCTTCTCAAGTGAACCAGTTTATTAAGCACAACGATCGGCTTGCCTGCAAACATGAGGCTTGGTCCCATTTAGTCTTGTAATAGCACTTTAAACTTAGCAAGTGTAAAGCGCATGCCAAAACGTGCGGCAGAGTTGTTTAAGTCATTTAAAATGGCTTGCCTTTTTGAACGATCTAAACCAAGAGAAGCAATATTGTCCACATACTCAATGTCTGAGCGAATATCTCGGGAGCATTTCGAGCCTCGAGGGTTCAGAGGCAGGCAGAGAAATTTCAAGCCACACGTCAATAACAAAGTTGGAGAGGAAAGGTGAGAGAGGGCAGCCTTGTCTTACACCGCTGGACATAGTAAAGTTAGGCGATAGCTAGTCGTATACTCATGCGCGCCCACAAGAGTTCGCACACAGAGCCCTCATCGAGGATTTAAATTTGGAAGGGAAACTCAAGGTTTGACGATTGACAGAATCAAGAGCAGCTTTCAGGTAAAGAAAAAACGACCAACGTGGGACGTCTGAAGGAGTGGCGCTGTTCAAGAAACTGTTTCAAGGCAGAGATAGGGTCGATGGATCATCGGCCAGGGTGAAACCTAGCATGGTTTTTATGAGTGTCCCTCTCGAAAATCGATCAAGTTGCGTGAAATAACGCCAGAGAGCATCTTAGATGCGATGGACACCAGGCTGATGCCACGATGGTTTTCGCAAGACGTTCTTGCACTCTCTTTGAAAACTGTGATGAAGGTCGAGGAGCTTCGTTCGGCTGGTATTCTGTTTCCGTTCCAAATCCTCAGCAGTGCGGATGTCAGGATATTCACCAGGACCTCGCCACTTTTTTTAAGAGTGCGGGGTGTAAACCATCGGCACCAGGTGTCTTGTCGCGCCTGGTGATTGATATCTCCCATTGTATTTCAGTTGCTGTCTGGTTGGTGTCAATGTTGCATTCGGGCCCACCGGGATATTCCAGCGGTCGTGTTGAAGGAGAACACTTGAACTATCCTGTGAAGTGTTCAGCCAACCGCTCAAGACAACGATTGAGAAAATGAGTTGCCGTTCCAGCTTTTCCGCATAATGTTTCACTGACGACTGTCTCCATTTGACTGATTGGTCTAATCAGTTGAAATAGAGCGCGGCTGTTGTCTGTAGCGAAAGCCTTCGCCATCTCCTGGGCCTGTGAAATCCACCAGCGTTCCTTGTCATTCTTCAAGCTCCTGATTATCCGGTGTTTGGGGGATCTACGTGTGCGATCATATTCGCTAGTTGCGGGTATGGCCTTTCCGACTGCAGTAAGAGCTGCGTATCTCGATGATATTCAGTGTTTATTTAGTCGAGTCAGATGGCCTGGACAAACAATTCCGAAAGCTGAGATTATAGCTTCTTCAGCTCACTTCCATTCAATCTCCAAACAATCTTCACCTATATGACTGTGCATTTCCAGTAGTTCTCTAGCCAGAACAGCTCGATACTCATCAGCTACTGAAACCTGACGTAGCTGATGAACGGAGCAGCTCTCCTTCGGCATGTGTAACGCTGAATGAAAGCGGAGTGATAAACAGGCTAGCACGATGCCATGATCAGAGTCAAGCTGCGTAATCCAGAAGGAACGAAAATCCTTAACTGAGGTTCTCCGTCGGTAATTGATGGCCACGTGGTACAGCTGAGTCCACGACTACCTTGTGTTAGGTGAGCGTTTGTGTTGGAAGTTTGTACTGGCCAGGAACAGACGATGATCTCTACGTAAATGAGGAAGTCGCTCCCCATTACCCGTTCGCTGAGCATCGACTCCAAATCTTCCAATCCAGGTGTGCTTCAAAACTGAGTCGTCCCACTTGAGCATTCATATCACCCGCTAGGATTTAAATATCTGTGATTGTTTATGAATGAAGCAGTCGTGACACAGCTTGATAAAACCCGTCCTCCGCAGCCTCACTGCTATCTGTCAGGGAGGGGATGCCGACACGACAAATAAACACCGTTCACCACAGGATCCTTGCACAATAGAAGCCTGACCACCACGACCAGGTGGCATCAGGTCAGGGCGTATGCGTTTAAATGGTTTCGACAAACCCTCAGAGTTTCTCGCTTCCTCCACTTCTTCAAAGCTTTCTTGGCCAATCAAACTTCTTGACCAACGCGGGTATTTAAGCTGACTGACAATCCGTCCAGCTGTAATGTACCCTTGGCTAGCAAGGAAGCGTGTCAGCGCCTAAAGGAAGGTTGAGGTCTTGCTTGAGATCCAGTCTATGGGTAGGGTTAGTTGCGCCTCACCACAAGCAGAGCGTCCAGAATCCCTGAGGGTTGCGAAGAATACTTTCCAGCCAGAGTCAAAATCAGAAGATAGATTGGTCAAGAGAGACTTCAGTAGGTGCCTTTGATAATTTCGGTCCGCAGTAACGGCCGAGGTTGCGCATCTTGCGCACCCCCGAAAAGCGTACAGCTGCAACGGATAACTGCGTAACCATGCTAGGCATAATCCGCATAATTGTTGTAAAACGAGCGGCAATCAGCAATCGAACAACGCCATCTGCGGCTGATGGCGATGCGGTCTACATGCGCCTGGATTTGATTCGAATATGCAGAGCATCACATAACCGGACAATTTCGATTATTTTCGAAGTCAGTGCTGCACAGGAACACTCTTCGATCAGCATGTAACCGCAGTAGGCGTGCGTCTCAGTTCCAGTTTACAACGGTTACCCAATTGAGTCTCACTACGTGCTTGTGCTAATATATCCACAGCAACCACGATGTTAGATTTTAGCTCACTGTGATAAAGCGCCCAAAGGTTCGTAAACAACTGCCTTTGACAGTATGGGATGCAGCTTGCCGAGGCTCGAGCGGATACAATAAGCAGTCAGGGATTATCAGCGCCTTTGAAGTATTCTGTCAGACACAACAAAAAGCTGCAAAAAAGGCGGTTTTCAACAAAAATGAAATCAAGCAGAGACCCCACATGATGAATCAAGACAACAACGTCCCCGATGGCCTTCGGATAGCTGTAGGTGCGCAACCAGATGACACCAGTTCGCAGATTAGACCAACTACGATTGGCTCCTGAATCGTTGCTTAATAGAGGGCACGTATCAACAGATGAATCTTTCGCACAATTGAGAATTTGTTGTTAAGATTGTTCCAGAGTGTGAAAGTTGGAGCCTGTCAGGTAAACTGAGCGACTGAGTTTGAAGAGTGTGCACGACCGGGAGGACCGAGTTAACCGTAAATTTTGCAGCTAACGGTAATGGATGCGGACGGATGTCAGCGCCCAAGAAGAGGTCTACAAAAATGTTGCTAGCAACATAGTGGGGAGCGGAACAAGGGATTGTGTGACAGAGAAAAAGAGACAAGCAATGGATTGTTTTTGCTTACCCACTCTGATGTACGCACGGTGACTTGGTGGTATCATACAACTGCAGATGTGCCATAAGGTTATTTGCAGTTGTGAAGTTTACGATCGCAAGCACCGTAGGAATTTATATTCAATCCACTTACTTATCCTGAAATACGTAACACGGACATCACTCTGTCCGGTTAATTGTCCTAGACTCGCTCAGTGGGACTGGCTCTTGAAGGACTGAACTGTACGGCCGTCGGTATAATTAGGCTAAGCCATCACAGTAAGCCGAGTAGGTGAGTCACGTCCAGAGCGTCTAGGGGGCGATTGGAACCGTCAGCTAGGATACCCAGTCCAGAACCAGAGATGACACCGGTGTGAAAGAACCGTAAATCATGCATTCGACTGATTTTTTCTAAGGCCGTCGGGCAGCTAGTTAGCCTAATATTTTGCGATACAGCGCAGAAGCTTCCATCACATCAAATAATTCTGCCACCCCTTAGTAGAGCCACTTACTTCATACGAATTTGAAAGGGGTCTAAAATTGCGTATCAATTGGCTTTCGGGTTTAGTGGCTGATTCAGCCTCTTGAGGACAACGGTCCAGACAGCTCCCGGTTTTTCAACGTCCGTGTACAGCACGGTAATTCGAGTGGACATTGGGTTGCTTTTCAGCTGACATTGGGAAGTGCATGACATACGAACAACCGAATGAATGTATACTGCACCAGTATACAAATTCCAATTTTCCTACAAACTGAATAGAAGTGAAGGTCCGAGGGAAGAGTACGCCTATGAGACTTCACAAGCTCTGGGTGGCTGTCGAAGTTGGGAAGTTCTAGTGTCGATCGAACGTTAGGCTCTAAAGCACGTTCGAAAACACAACCCAGCACCTTTGTAGTGTCCGACCACATAAGTTGACAGTGTATGCATTTCGGACCATCCATAAAATATGGACGTGATACAACACGGAAATTATGTTCAACAGGGTATACGGACGAGCAAATCACGGAGGTAAGACAGATCTGGCACACTTAATGTGGGCACTTCAAACATCTCTGCATCACTGTAAGTGAGGTGACCAGGAAAGGGTACAGAATCTGAGCGCACGCGTGCTGGAGCCAAATATTAATTGCGTCAAGTCCAGCCAAGTGAGCCAGTAGAGTCCACTGCGCAATCACGGTTGTTGAATAAAGCGCAAAAAGCGAGCGCACTTTGGCTAGTAAATGAATGGGAACTGACTACAGGATTAACCAAAAACTCACTGGAGATGTTGTTCTGCTGTGATGTTTTCTGAAGAAAGACGATGGAAGGAATTCATAGATGAGCGTGATTTTAGAAGCGTCTTCCATTGTTCCCCATTGACAGATGGCTTCGGGTGTGTCAAGGGCTTGGCAGATGGCTCCTCAACTGTCTGGTTATTGGGAAATAGTGGAGGTGTACGAGGTCCCCTGGGAGGTTCGGTTGGTTCGGCTGCCCTAATTGGCGGTGGGCTACAGGAATTAAGATTGTAAGACAACCTACAGGTAGCATCCGAGCGCACGGAAACGAAGAGACCAGCTGCAGTCATTGGAATCACGTTGATAGACAGCACTAGTAGGGTCACAAATTTCTACAAGGTGACAAAATATGGAAGGATATTACCATAATCTGTATGCTTAGGCCAAATGAAGTTGTTGCGTGACACTTCCGAACCGGGGTACGGCTTCGTCTGCGGTTCCCGAAGTCTTTTCATAAACTCGGTGACAGTCATGCCCATTCGAGATTGTATACAAAGCGAGGCATCATCATCGAGGTTCTGGAACCTACTAAACGAATATTGGCACACCAACCTTGACGATCAGTAGTGCGGGTGCCGGTGTGGGGTTCGAAGCCATTAAGTATCAAATACTATCTCTCGTCTACATTTCGGGCGAGCGCTAAAAATGGGATGATCGGTCTGTAGGCATACTCTCACGTTCGTATACCACGTGTACTGGATAAAGGAGAGGCGGATAAAAGTTGCGCCGAATTTCAAACCTCCCGCTAGCATTCAGTCCATTTTTTGCCCAGAACTGGGGGCCTCCACTCGTTATTTGTCCCGCTACAAACTAAGATAAACTTGAAGACAATTCGGACCTATCTGCCATTGGTCCCAGACTGGGCGTTGTATTATCATGTCAACCTGACAGACTCGTCTCAATTCTCATTACATGATGCTTCAGGCCACCAGTGTGAGAAGTTCTGTGGCTGCGTTCCTTCCTGAACAGGTAAGGAAGTCCTTTTGCGACACTGCTATATGCAGCTGCAGGAAGATGCCAATATGCGCGTGAAGCGAGGAGGAGTACATAAAGGAACAAGTCAACCGCAGATATGAGCATGAAAGGGGAAATTCTATTACCTCTTTCCTTTTTCTGAATTGTCACCATTTTTGTAATTTTTGTTGCCTACATTGGTTTCTTTCCATACAACGTAACACGCTATTCATTCCACATTATTCTACAGGCTATGATCAGTTTTACCCATCCAGGGCTCATCTGATGGACGCACTCTCCATGTCACCATCAATTTTATGTTCCACCTGAACCACAATGATACGACGTTCGCAGCTTGCAATACTTTTCACAGGGGTAAGTTTGTAACGGGAAACCTCATGAATGCACTTAGCTTCTTCACTTATTGTGCATTTGAATTATGGGAACGGTCTTGCGGAGCCAGGAGAACGCTGTTGCCGGATTTTTATCACTTTCGAGACCCACCTGCGCGAGCGTAAGATGGCGACGACTACGTAAAACGTAATTCTGTCACAAAGACCCAGGCGGAGGCTTCAGTCAAGTCGATGGGGCTTCAGAGGCCCATTTTTCTCCAATGCATACTCATTAGTGAGTTACTCTTCGTTTTTACGGCTTCAGTGAGGTAGTGGATTTCAGCCAGTTTGAACATTCTCCTCGCAACTGTGACACGTAGTGAGGTTTTTGTCAGTTTACACCTTCACACTTATCGACTTGCAAAAACGAACCACGTAATGAAAGGCTGCTTCGCGCTAAACCTATCGCCGAAACCTAGAAATGCAACGAAATGGCTGTCCTCGAAATTTTAAACATAGATCACGATGCCACATTTTACTGGCTTGTGGCACTTTGAATGTACGTGGCCTGAAGGATGTAATGGTGGATTCAGTGCCAGACGCTCCTGGCTGCCCATAAGTAAGTGTTCCCATAACTTCTGCAGATTAAAAAAAGTCGCTACAAACAAGACAGGAAAATCGATGCAAGCTTTTCATTTTAAATTGCACTCGCGAAATGAGACACTGCGCCCATCAGAAAATATGGACGCATTCCGGATGCCGCGGATCGAAAAATTCTTCGCGAAGGAACACAAACCCTTTAAAGATAAGAAGACAAGGAAGGAGAATGTTACCCGAAGACTCTTCATCCCTAGTCATCGAATGCAGTGCAGAGCTGCCATATTTGATGGCCTACGGTTTTGATCAACGACTTCCTGCTTCTTACCCCCAGATTCAACAGAATCATCACCGACTTTTTTCCTGCGAAAGTTTCTCTTTGCCCACCAAGCTTTCTGGTGTTCACTGGTCGGTCCGTGTTGAGCATTTCTCAATAACTGCACTCACAGGGACTTGGGTGACGCCAGATAATTGGTGCTTCTACCTCAGTTTACGGCGACTCCGTTTTTCGCGGTCACCGGAAGTGTGGAAGTGTGGGCAGTTTTGCTTTATGCTCCGTCATAATCCCGCCAACCATGGTTGCCCTCCGACATTCCTCCGCTTTGAAAACCAAGGTGATTCAAACATTTATTGGGAGAAATCTACCGCTAGGGACTCGGCACCGTCTTTCATGTTCCTTTAAGACCGTCAGGAAGGCCACCACTTTCTCCCGTATTCATATGAGCAGTTATTCTCTAGGCATTACGGATTCTTTCCCTGTGATTGATTCGCAGCGCACTGAACTTCCGTGGTATGCTTTCGGCACATACTCTCACTGAATAAACTTGTGCTTCAGGGTAACAGGACTAAGTATGTCGACGCACCCATCTGATACTGCATAGGAATACCACCATCTCTAATGGGTCCTTTTATTGCCAATGTGTGACGCTTCTTCGGTCAAACGGTAAGTGAGGCTTTGTGGTGGCACATTGATCGTCGCTTACTGACTTAATTGGCTGCCAAACCATGTACCCCGAAACTTAAAACTTTTGGTGAAGCCTCTCCTGAGCGTTAGTATCTCCGTTTGCACGGTCGTACTGGTGCCATGTTTGGTGCGGCAGGATTACTGGGACGCTGTCGCGAAAGCTGACAGAGCTGATGAACAATCCGTCCCAAAGAAATCGGCTTGTAAATGAATCAAATTCCGTTGTAAAACACTTGGAACAAGAGCTGAACCCAATCACTTGGAAGATAAGTATTAGAGATATAAGAGGTGAACCAGCATTCCATGAGATTTTTGGGCACCGAAGGCCATAGGTTCGCCAAATGAAGCGACGAAATCGGTGATGGTTCAAAGCCTCAACAACCAATAAGGAGGAAGACAAGCGAGCATCCAGTTTGGAGCAGGACAAACAAACGGGCCGGTCATTATAGCTGAAAACCACGGAAACCCTGCATGTTTGTATTTTACTTAAGCTACGTTATTACATTCGAAACAGGTGGAACAGGACTGCAGGCAACTTCCAACAACCTTATATTTATAGATGACTTTCGCGAACGTTTAGGACCAAATTCTTCAGCGAGTTTAGTCGCGAAGGAATACATTGAGGCTTGAGACTTCTGTTGTGTATTTCATCAATCTCTGGAACTAGGTCACCCATGCTCTGCCGGCGAAACACTATGCCTTTTTAACGGGCTTTTGTAACTCAGCTTACCACACAACTCAAAAGCCCCGACGCACATAGGGTCCTTCCAAACCTCCCAATTACGTTCGTATACGTAAACGGCCTGACACAGCGCATGGATGGTAGACCTATATTAGGCATCGTATCTTCGGGTTTTCTAGAGCCCCTTTGACCAAATTCCACGTATTCCACTAACTTCGAAAGGCGGTTCAACTCACCTGACCCTCTCAGAGTTTCTCAATCACGAGATCTACCCTTTTTGTGATTTCTACAACCGATCTTTCCAGTAATCTGGCAGGTCCACGCCCACCGCTCACAGGAGGCAGAAATTCTTGGATTTTGGGCGCCGGTGCAGTTCAGAAGGCATTAAAATTGCAAAAATCGTAGACCATCAACTTTGTCTTAACTGCATGTGCTGGATACTCTGCTAATTACTGCGTTCTTTTCGTGAGATCGGACTAGAACATATTGAGAATCCGGGCAGAAAAATGAATTCGGCATCCGGCGCTCTTTTGCACCATCCTCCTCATTTTAAACTTCTCTCACACTTGCTCATTCCTCATCTAAGACTCGATGGAAATAGTTTCTTCGTCCTGTTTATATACTTCTTTGTTTTTGCAGACCCGCTATCCAGGCTCTTTTTAACTGGTGATATCCAACCGAACTTCCAGCCAGCTAAATATGAGCAAAGGCCTGAAACTTGTATATCGTTCCACGACACGTGTGGTACACTCGTGGGCCGGATGTTTCTGAGACTTTCTGCTAGAGCTAAGGTTTACTTGAGCTCGGTGTCAACGCTATACAACAAACTTGTTAGTTTGGTACTCATTTGGCTCATATGTAAAAGTGGTAGTATTCCGCTGTGCATACTTTCAGCGAACGGCGCCGCACAGGCAGGAGTAACAATCCCGTAAAATGCCAGTCCTGTACCGAGGGCGGCAACATCGGTGTTTTACAGTGGATGTGACCTGAGCTCTGAAGGTGAGTGGTAGTCTATGGATGTTTTGGGGTTGGCCTAATAATACTGCTACTAATAATAATACTAATAATAATGTTTATCCCCAACTTGTGGGTGGCATACCGTCTGCCATGATCATTGGTTTACAGTCAGGATGAATCATGACTGAGGGATTTGTGGGGGTGCGGATTGCACGAGAAGAGGACGATGTCATAAACAGTAGATAATATCCGATGAAAGAATAATGATAGGTTTCGTTCCCAACTTGTTGGGAACAATGGGCATGAGGTCCGACCAATTCCAAGACAGCTAGCTGGCATGAACTAAAGCTGAAAGCCATCGCTGGCCATGGGCGACCTTGAGCGGTTAGGTAAATGGCCGATGGCACAACGAGCAAAAGTGGAGATGGAGACGGAATACTTCAAATTAGGAGCACATGGCCAGTTTTGTCACAGAAATGTGGTTTAATCTGAATCCCTAGTTGTACTGTTGTGGGGAAGTCAGGTGCAGGGGTTAGGATGGATGGGGGCAAGGTGCTGATACATAGGGCGACCTGAACACCGTATACGGATTTGGACTTATGGAAAAGGCAAGCTAAAATTGCGGCAAAAAAACCAGGCTAGCCAAATTTAAGCGAAAGTTCATCGGGTACGGGAGAGCTCATCCTAGAGACGTATCCGGGCGAAAACTTTGCTTGTATTTGCGGCTACAGGCTTGAGTGGGTGAGGAGTTGCGGTCGAGATTCTGGAGCAAATAGTTGCGGGAGTGCCATCTCGCTGTGTAAGACAGTGCCATACCATCATCTCACTGACATGCTTCGGTTTATGGACAGTTCCGTAACGGTCGTCAAAGGTGCTGCGATAGGAGAAGGATACGCTGTTCCGTGGCAGCCGGTTCTGCGTGGGACGGAGATCGACACAGAGATTCAGGCTAATGCAGGCTCATGGATAATTTCCCTTTCGCTGGAGGACCGTGTGAGTGTAGGCCAGGGACAAGCCAGTTCGAATGAATAACAGCTCCGCGGGGCGTCAGGGCAACTGCTGTTAAGGCTCGAGGTTTGGGAAAATGGGCAACGAAAAAAATAGAATGAGG